GAGAGAGAGAGAGAGAGAGAGAGAGAGAGAGAGAGGAGACGACCTAGATAGGTCAGCTTGTTTGATTGATTTTTATACGAGTATACAAATAGATTTGTCATATGATATTTCTATGAGATTTGTATGAGCTGTGAGCAGGCATCATTTAATACAATGTCCATGGACACACATTCATTCTCCACTTTTTTAGAAAACGATGGTCAGCATATCAAACTTACCTGACTACCATAGGCGAGACTAAGACCAACAAGGACTGGCGAAAGGACTCCCTTCGAGGCAACCGCGCCAATGGAAGCAATGAAAATAACCACTGCACATATGCTGTTCCCATGCACAAGCCACCCACACGCATGCAAACCAGTAGTACTCTATTTCAATTAGATGATCCAAGCCAGTAGACCATTCCCATTAAATAGCACCACCTTTGTGGCTGCTCCCCGCCAATAGATGGAGCAGCTAGCGGGCACTGCTAGGGAGGGGTTGCTCATACCACCCCGTCTAGCAGTAGTAGTTGTTGTCGCAACTCATTCACATAAATTATCACGAGATAAATCATAGGCATGCATCGTCAGTTCATCATAACAATGGACGAAGCTCCGATAACAGGAGGAAAGAAGACGACCAACCATCTTACAGGCGAAACAGGATAGCAGCCGCGAGCTGGAAGAGAGGCAGACGTCAAACACAGTAGACACATGGTCTTCTCCGCAACGTGACTTCTGAAAGGTTAAAAGTTAATCAATAAGCACCACCTCTTGTAGCCAGCCTAGTGCCAAAGTAGTCCTCAGCATCCTGACATCTCTTCAACATCGCGACATCTACTCATGAAAATCCTGCCTAGCTCATCTCGTCAACATCGCGACATCTCCTCGTGAAAATACTGCCTAGCTAAAATTTGTGCGACCCTACGTCGCGTCGTTTTGGCCGGTTGCCAGCCGGCAACTCATCAGGGGTCTAGCAGTGGGCCACAGGTTTTTCGGGGAAAAAAATAAAATAAAAAGCTTTGTGCCAGTTTGTGGCCTAGTAGTACATCTATGTGGCTCTTAATAAAGTAAGATAAAAGGATCATGGGTTTGAATGTTGCTGCAGTCAGATGAATGCACCAATATTTGCGGGGAGGAGGGAGGGGGTGCAAGGGGAAAAAGACAGACTGTTCCAGCAGATCATTTAAGCAGACCGTTCAGACTGTTTGAGAAGATAATTTAAGCAGACCAGTCGAGTAGATAACAAAGCACATGGAGTACACACCTGAGTTCGATTTCCAATGGTAGGAGGATTCGTGCTAGCGCCGTGCCGTCAGCGCTACGCAACCTCCAGCATTCGCACGAAATCTTGCTGCGCACCCGCGCACCATAGCCATTGCCCGTGCGCGCGTGTACGCGAAGCAGTCATGATCACGGGACTCACGTCGTGCAGCAGAAAGGAGAGCACGAGGCGGGGTTTTTGACTCAACCTCGGGTCTCTACCATCGCCAGAAGGAGGGAAACGCCACGTGCCCGTATCTTGGTTGTGGTCGAAGATTTGGTCTGAAGACAGGCAAAGAGTTATCCGGATGAGCGAGAGGCGTATGGTTCAGTTCGACCTCGCGCTCCCATCATTGGCAGAAGGATCGAAGGAGGGATTTGCTACATGCCCACATTGTGGATTTGGTTGAAGAACTGGCCTAAATACAGGCAATGAGTGTTTCGTATGAGTGAGATCCAACCTTCTATAACTTACTAACCCCCTACCTTTCTGCTTCGTCCCATCCTCGGCCCTACTCCAAATTCTCCCTCCGACCCACCCTTCCTTCATACTTGTTTGTTCCAACCTATCGATACCTCCGCTTCCTTCTGCCCAATCTGGTCAACAGGGATCACTCCAAGTCCCTTCCCCACCTCCTTTCTTTCCCATCGCTGGTTTTCCCCCGAGCATCTTGAATCGGGTCGAAGGAATGAACTAAATACAGGCAACGAGCGATCCATACGAGGGAGATCCGACCTTCGACATCCTAGCAACGCCTTCCCTACGACCTACCTCCCTCCCCATCCCCCATGCTCCTCGCCTTTCAACGCCACTGATCGGCCTTGGGTCACTCGTGACCTTACCCCCAACCAGTCCCCCGTCCCAACTTTCTCCACACCCGTTTTGCCCCTAACCCTCAACATTTCTGTTTTCTTACCGCCTGCAAATTCGGTCAACGGATATCAATCGAATTCCCTCCCTCCCCTCCGTTCCTTCCCATCTCAAGACAAGGTCATCCCCACCCCAATCTCCAAAACGACCCCCTCCATTCTTCACGACTTCCCCATTACCCGATCCCACGTGTCCCCCTCATTGCTCATCGTTCTCATTGCTTGGCACACGATCCCGATTCGCTTCCTCCCCACGATCTCCTGGCCTCTGTCTATTATCATCCTGATCCCTCTTCCACACTATTCTCCTCCCCTCCCCCCTCTTTCATAGGACCTTTGGTACACTCGACCCTCCTTTGTTCCCCCTATTGCCCACCCCCTTTCTTTCTTCTAAGCGGTCCCTAACTTATCCTCCCCTCCCACGTGATCCGCGACCACCCCTCCCTCCCCCCCTTGTCGGCCCCACGATCTGCGACCACTAAGGTTGCAACGTGTGTTGCTCTCCCCTTTGCCTTTCCGAAGCTCCCCCCCCAGCATCCAGCTCTTACCAGTCTTTTTCACGCCTTCTCCATCCCTTTCTCTCCCTCCCATCCATTCACCCATCCATCTATACTTCCCTCCACCCAACCACCCATCCTGATACCCTCCCGTCCGCCCACTCATCCATCCAACCACCTTTCATCTCAGCCATCCTCCACAAACTTCGCAGATATACGCTCGATACCATCCCCCATTCCTATACATCCTCCCATCCATCCTCCCATCCATCCTCCCATCCAGCCATTGATCCATCCATCCATCCATCCACCCCCTCCATCCAACCTTCCTCTCACCCATCCATCCACCAGCCCAACCCTTCATCCTTCCATATACCCAACCATTAATCTGCCCCTCATAATTTTCTTCCGCGCATGATCGCCTCATCTGACAATCCCGACTTGGACCACTTCGCTAGTCCAGCACCTCCCCCCCCCCCCCCCCCCCCCCCCACCAATCACTTCCACACAGTCGCATACCCTCCAGTTTGCCTTCCCCCACTACCCCAGCCCCCCCACCTCCCCTCACATCTCTCTCGGTTGCGCCCACGATCCCCACCCATAATCTTCACCTCCCACTTTCCCAGCCACCCAGTCTTCCATCCACCCATCCATCCTCCCCTCCTTTCATCCCAGCCCACTAACCGCCCGCAATTCCCCCCCAGTCCGTACCCCCAAACTCATCCGAGTATTGATCATCTCCCCCCTTGGGATCCTGTTCGAGCCCGATCCCCAAGTGGAAAGGCCAACGCTGCTGTGGTGTTCCACCTCCTGAGGTTCGACTGACCAGATACACACCAGATACAGGTATCAAAGAAGACTAGGACCGATTCTCTGCAAGCAAAGAGAATGGCTTCCTCTTCTCAAAATGTGAATTCAACGAGCTGGAACCCCTCGGAAAAGGCAATCAATGTGATCGGCAATAGCTTGAATCTCTAAACGTTCCTCAAACCAATCATAAACTTTAGTAAGATAGGTTCCCTAAACAGGTTCTCCTTCATCAGAACCATACATGATAAGTTTTTGTCATATGGCTCAAGTAGTATGTCAATTATTTTTACGATATTATTTAAATGTTTGATTCAATAAAAAAGCAAAGAAAGGGTCGATACCCGAGTGGCTAAAGGGAACGGACTGTAAATCCGTTGGTAATTGCCTACGCTGTTGATCCAGCTCGGCCCAGACCCAGCTCTATGAAAGACATGGACTTGATCATATTGAATTCAATGAGGCTCTCAAATTCCTAATTGAGAAAACGAAAGCACAAGGGATACAAACCACAGAAACACAAAATACTGATGGAAAAGAAGAACAGGTAATTGTCTGGAAATATCCGGAGGAAAAAGTAGCAGAACTGGATGATTTGCACGAAAGGCACGGCATGATGTTCAACTTTGCTCGCGCAGAACTCCAGCCGACAGAGAAGAGAAAATGGGTGATTGAAACAATTCAGAAAGAACCCCACTTAAAACAGGTTTGCTTCACTCTACAAATATTGGGTCGGAACAATATCATGGCACTGTTTATCCATGAAGATCATGCACGGCTCGCCGCAGATATGCAATCCAGAAATTGTAGTAGTTCAGTCTGCACTATAACCAAATGGAAAAATTCAAAAAATTGACTGCTCAAAGACAGAACCCGATTTTCACAGTGTCTTACAAACAGACTCTGTTGAAGGAGAACTTTTGGGTGCAATTTGATAACATCCAGCCGGGCTTTCATGGTCTACTGGTGGACAGGTTAGAGAGACAATATACTGCAAACAGATCCTCAAGTGGATCCTGGCAACACCTGAATTCCTGGCACCGCACTGTGGCACTATGATGGCGGTGCTGGAAGTCAGAACATACGACCCTTCGGTGTTCCCACCGACCTGGAAGTTCCAGATCGAAAACAAAGTGGTAGAGGTCAGAGTCTCGACCAAAGATTCCCCAATCTGCTTCCGCTGCAGAGAGCGAGGACATTTGGGAACAAACCCCAACTGTCCCAAGTTTCCGAAACAGTCAAAAGAACGAAAGCTCCTCCCCAATATAATGGTGGAAGTGGAAGATGCCCCAGGTACCTGGTTCATCGCCGACTCCAACTACGATGGGTGGGTGTTTGACGATAACTTGGAGGAACCAGATTGGGTCTGGCACTACGCCGACCAGCCCCCGACTGTCAAAAAACCCAACATCTTCCCCCCAACCGACAGCAGATGGCAAAAGACAGCAACGGGGAAAGTGGCAGGGAACCCAACGAAAATTTAAACCGACCCTCTCATGGACTCCTGGGTGATCGGGGAGGAAAAGGCCCAGGAAGACTTACTATGTGACTTGGAAGCAGTCAGGGACCAAACAATGCAAGAATTCAACAAGCAATCAACTTCCTTCCGAGCAATGCTGAAAAATATGGAACAAGCTGAAACCCGAAAAAAGGGCAAGGCACACATGGACAACAAACGCAATCTGAACAATGACGTAGTGCAGGAGACTGCGGAGGGCGGCCTCAAGAAGAGGAGGGCAATGGACACAGAAGGGAGGGAGGGAGTGATACGGTTGTAGGCAGAGGAGGACAAGGGTGTCAAGATGACAGACCCCCAAGAAATGAGGTCAGGTAGCGTGGCAGATGGAAGCAACAGCGAGGCAGGGGGCTCAACGACAGAAAGCGAAAACGCCCCCCCTCGCTCCTTGCAGTGGCTCAGAGACTACGTTGAGAAGGTTAAAAAGGACAGGGAGCATGCCTTCGATATCCGGGTTGCGTGTCTGAAACACGCTGAAAGATCCTTGAGGAACGGGAAGGAAGGAACGATCGAGGGGATATGGAACTCCAACAACCAGTTCGAGGCTCTCCGTAAGATAAAAGCAGAGGAGTTCTCAGAGTACACAGTGTTCAGATACACAGAAAAGAAGAGGGCAAGAGATCAGGGGATAGTGGACATGGATAAGACCCTGCCCAACACGAAGGATGATTTCCAAGATTTGCGCCCAAAGAAATGAAAGTCAAGGAAGAACCAAAAGAAGAAAGAACAACGCAGAACAAACAGAGGCCGGAGAGGATTCAGACTACACTCGGCTGGAAAAAGAAGCCGCAGTGGTGTTAGGCTGTTAGCCCAAACAGAAAAATTAAAAAAGCTGAATGAAGAATACGCACCTGAATTCGTCTCTCTCATGCACATAGCCAGAAAGGAGGCCCCCCTGGTGGAAGAATCAGCAAAGTCTTCACATCTGACTCTGATGAACATCCCAGCTGATTGCTGCCAGGTTTGTAGAAAAAGCAAGGGAATGGCAGATTGCAATCGACGTTTCCTTCCAGATTCCAATGTTCGAGGAAGGCCAGAATGTGGCCGACATCCTTCGAGACAAGGTAACGGCGGAGGTCCCGTTGGGCATCTATGAGACTGTTCCTGGGGTGATAGACCAGGAGGACACATTCCCTCAAGTCGACCATGACGACTTCCCGACACAACGCAACGAGCAGGGGAGACACTCCCCTCTAGCGTTCTCACCGTTGATTGCCAAAATGTCGGAGACAACACAGTTGAGATCAGGGATGAGATGGAGACCATGGAGAACGGTGACGGCAGTTCCATACAGTGTACTGTCGGGCCCAACGATCCCGGCAGAATTGACGGCAGTGTCAATCACTCACCTCGTCACTACAGGGATATTGGAGGGCGATGGGATTTAGACGCTAGGGCTTATTCTACTGACTGGGACAAATTTTACAGAAGCGATTGCTCAGATACTGAATTGGAGCACGAGGATGCACGCGAGGAGAAGAAAGTCAAGGGGATGGACTCAGAAGTGGAGAAGGGCAACAGTGAAAGGGAGGAACCGTATAAGATAGAGGATTCAGATTTATTATCACCCCTTAAGACAAGGCAAGACACACCTGGGCCCGACTCGGACGACAGTCCAAAAGGAATGGACACGGGCGCGCCGGCCCCCCTGTAGATCCCATTCTAATAACACCCCGTATGCATTCCGCCCGAGATAGCTGCCCCAATGGAGGAGTTCAGAAGTAGCTAATAGGGGGGAGGATCAAGTAGATTGGAGGTACCAAGGGATAGTTATCCGGAGGTGGAACATCAATGGTCTGGGAAACATTATGGACAAAGAAGATAAATCGAACGACTTAATCAAGGGAATGACAGTCTATAACAAGAAAGCAGCCGACATCATAGTGCTACAAGAAACCCATCTGACCCTCTCCGCCGAACACAGTAGAATCTGCTCCTTCTTAGCAAGGAAATTAGGTGGGATTAAAGACGAAATCTGGGCCGCGGACAGCGTCTCAAGCACGAAAGGGACAGCCATTTTGATTCCTAAATCCTCCCGCGTATACACGGCCGGAGGAATCCTTGACATAAAAGCTGATCCCAGCGGTGGGAGATGGTGCTTCATGCACTTCAAGTGGAAAGAGGAAAAATTCATATTATTCAATGTCTATGCTCCAAATGAACCGTCCGATTCCCCCTTTATCAACTTGTGTTCTAGTTGGTGACTGGAATGCCACTATAGACCCCTCCACAGATCGCATACCAAGATCATCCAACGTACATAGCTCACAAGAGGCCATACCAATCCAGAGGCTGATGCTAGATCACTTTCTAGTAGAGCCATACAGAACCCTCCCCCCTACGGAAAGGGCTTTTACACTGGTAAAAAAGAACCATGCGCAGCACATAGCCTTCTCTCGTATAGACTACTTCTTGGTATCCGAGACAATAATGGGAGCGGTTAAGAGTGCCGAAATTCTACCCTTGGCACCATACCCGGGCCTGGATCATAAACCAATTGAACTAATAAACAGCTTTGAACAGTTTGTGAGAAGAGGAGCTAGCTTTCACAAACTCAACAACTCCCTCTTACTAAGACAAACTTTTCAGGGCGGGATATGTGACTGCTGGCTCGACCTGAGAGCTTTATGCCTTCCCACCTACGATCGTTGGGTATGGTTCCAAGAAAGCTACTCCACCCTCTCGAAGACAATGACAAAGATCTCAAGGAAGTTAGCGTCAATAAGGAAGCAAAGGAGACAGACTCTGGAATCAGCCATAAAGATCACTGAGACCAACTTGGCTAACAACTCGTCGTCTCTGATGTACTCCGACATCCTGGAGAAAGCACGTGAAGAACTGGCAGTGTGGAGATCGTGGGACTTGAAAGGTCTA